ATAGATAGATAGATAGATAGATAGATAGATAGATAGATAGATAGATACATCTAAATAGATAGATGATAGATGAGAGAGAGAGATGATAGATGATAGATGATATATATAGAGAAAGATATATGGATGGATGACAGATAGAGATATAGAGGATAGATATATAAGAGATAGAGGAAGATAGATAGATTAGATAGATCATAAAGAGATAGATAGATCTCTGTTAAACAAATAATTCGCTCAACACTGTTCAACTATTACAAAGTCTGCACTACTATCACTATTAATCTTCTCATCACTCCTTATCACCCATCCCCTCTCACTTGTGACTGTTTGACGGTAACTTTGTCGCTTGTATCTTATGATTTATAGTCTGTTTCCTAGATGGTTTGATTGCTTATTGTACCCTATGATTATTATTAAATGTTGTACCTGATGATTCTTGACTTTTGACGAATGTATCTTTTCTTTTATGTATACTGAGAGCATTTGCACCAAGACAAATTATTTGTGTGTCCAATCACACTTGGCCAATAAAGAATTCTTTCTTTCTATCTATTTATCTATCTATCATTCTATATCATAAATAAAAGATAGATAGATGATAGAGATAGATGATATAGATAGACAGGATAGATGATACATATAGAGATAAGTGGATGGATGGATGGATGATAGATAGATATAGATAGATGATAGATAGGTAAAAGATAAAGATACATAGATAGATGATAGATAGATATAGACGATAGACAGACAGACAGACAGACAGACAAATAGATATAGATGAATGTACAGGTAGTTCTTGACTTAAAACCCTTTGTTTAGTGATCATTCAAAATTACAACAGCACTGAAAAAAGGGACTTTTGACCGTTCTTCACCTGTATGACCATTGCAGCATCCCCATGGTCATGTGATTAATTTATCCTTAGTTCTAGGTTGCTTGTCTCCTTGATTATCCCAAAGGTGCTTCTTCAGGAGGCAACTGGATTTTCTTGTTTTTTTCTTTTGAAGACATTTCACTTCTCATCCAAGAAGCTTCTTCAGTTCTGACTGGATGGTGGAGAATGGAATGATTTCTACTCGGGATGGGATTTTACCAGTTTGGACCGGTTCAGGCGAACTGGATGTTAAAGTTACAGTTGGTTCGCCAAACTGGTATTTCAACCCATCAGCTGGCCCAGTCCAGGGGTGGGATGCTACCGATTCGGACCAGTTCTATAGAACCAGTAGCTGTAAAGAGCAGCTGACACCAAATTGGTTCAGTGTTTGGCCCACCCGCCTGCCCGGACTCTAGGCTGTCCTTTATTCCCTGCTTTTCCCTCCTCAGCTGCTTTGCGCAGCGCAGCTGAGGTTGAAAAAGCAGGAAACAAGAGGATTTTCAAATGCCGCGCACTCGCACACAGCGCTTATCAGCTGTCCAGTTGGCACAGCTGATTTCTTGCAAACGCTGCACACATGTGTAGTTTGGAGAACCGGCAAATTGCTCCACTGGCTGGCCCTGCCCCTCCCTACCCACTCACTCCTTACCTGGCATGCGAGCCATCCAACTTGCCTGGTTTGGTAAGTTGCTATTTTTCCTTTCTTTCCCCCCGACCATCAGCTGTTCTGCTCTTCTGGGAGATTTAGATTAGCTAGAAGGCAGGAAATCCTTGGATTTCTTGCTTTCTAGTTAATCTAAAAGCAGAGCCGAACCTTCCTTAGGACTGAAGCTTCTACTTTTCAGTGCAGACTCAGGTAGCTGATGGCAGAAGGATAGATCTCTGAGTGGATCTGTGATTCTGTGAGCAACTCAATCTGCCCGCCTGCTTTGCCTGCTTTGGGGTAAAAGTTGCTATTTTTTAATAAAAATAATAATCAATATTTACATAAATATTTATAATATTTACATACAAGCCATGCCCAACCAGTCACATGACCACCAAGCCATGCCCACAGAACCAATTGTTACAAAATTTGAATCCCACCTCTGGCCGTCCCTCCTGCCCCTTCCCCTCCCAGGAGTCTCCACGTGGCCCATTTTTGATGGAGGTAAGTGCAGGGTCAACGCGGAGGCTCTGGGAGATGGAAAAACACGCCTTCTGAAAGTCCGGAAACGGACCTGTTTCCGGGTTCCAGAGGGCCTCCAGAGCCTGGGGAATGCCATTTTCGCCCTCCCAGAGGCCCGGGGGAAGCCTCTAGACCGTTGGGAGAGCGAAAAACAGCCCTCCCGGAAAAACTGGAAATTACAAAATGGGCCTGTTTCCTCCCTTCCGGTGGGCCTCCAGAGGCCAGGGGAGGCTGTTTTTGCCCTCCCAGAGGCTCAGGGGAGGCCTCTGGACCCTTGGGAGGGCAAAAATGGCCCGAGTTCTCCCCCGAGAACTCCCCCGAGTCCTGGAGGCCCACCAGAAGCCGGAAATAGGAAGTTCTGGTAGGCCCCACCCACCATGGCCATGCCCACCCAGCAACCGGGCAGCGAACCGGTTGCTGGGATTTTTGAATCCCACCCCTTTTTATACTCCTTGCAGACGGCTGGTCATTTGCATCCTTTTAGAGGGTTGTTGAAGCACTTGGAGGTTTATCTGTGCACCTCCTGGTTCCTGTCGTCTGCAATTTTTTCCATCTTCAAAAGAAAAAACAAGAAAGTCCAGTTGCCTCCTGAAAAAGCACCTTTGGGACAACCATGATCTGGATGACTGAGAACCTCCACAGACTCTCCTTGATTAGTTTCCATCCATTGCTTCTTGTCCTGCCTTCAGGGTTGACCGCCTCTCCTTTGTGGCAACCCATCAAAGACTAGAAGATGCTATTGTGTCATTCTTAGTCTTTCTCCACAGGCTCTATGCAATCTTTGCAAGAGGCATGCCAGTCACCGAGTCCCTCTTTCTCTTTGCAGGAAAACCCATGAATCCTTCTTTCGCCCTGAACCTCGCCGTTTCCAACGTGATTTGTGCGCTCGTCTTTGGCCATCGTTTCTCCACAGAAGACAAGACTTTTCATCACCTGCTGGAAGCCATTGAGAAGATTTTCAATGCCTCTGACAATGTCGCGAGTAACGTGAGCTGATCCCTTCTTTCCTTTTTCTCAGGAGAATCAAAATATTACGGTCATTGAACAGGCTCAGAGGTTGGGGTCAAAAAAAAACCTGCCTTGGGTACTAAAGGCTAGCCGGGAAGCAGGCCTATCCGCAGGGAGAGGAGTCCCCAAAAAATCAAAATGGCAGCCATGGTGGTGCAATGAAAAAGCCAGCCCCCTTTTTTGTGGGTCACACAGATGTGAAAGGGACAGATCTATTGATTCAATTGTGGTGACAGCCATCTTTTTTATCCCATCCTTGCTGAGTGAGATTGGTTGGGTTTCTTGTACAGATAGTTATGACCATAATGGAGCCGGCCCATCGTGGTTGTCACTTGTGTTGGTTGTAAAATTGTAAAATCATGGGACCAATCACCTGTAGGGATTCTCAGTCATCTAGGTCATGGGTGTCCCGAAGGTGCTTTTTCAGGAGGCAACTGGACTTTCTTGTTTGTTTCTTTGAAGAGATTAACTTCTCATCCAAGAAGCTTCTTCAGCTCTGAGGGAATAGAAGGATTTACATTCCTTGCAGACAGCTGGTCATTTGCATCCTTTTTGAGGCCACTTGGAGGTTTATCTGTGTCCTCAGGGTCACCTGAGTAGTGCTAAAGGCTCCTGTAGGCTACCATTTTTTCCTCTGGAAATCCATTCCACACCATTCGAAGGACGTCCATCCCAAATTGTATAGCTAAAAGTTTGTAGTGATTCTCAGTCATCCAGGTCATGGTTGTCTCAGAGGTGCTTGTTCGGGAGGCAACTGGGCTTTCTTGTTTTTTCTTTGAACACATTTTGCTTCTCATCCTGAAGACACAGATAAACCTCCAAGTGCTTCAATAACCCTCAAAAAGGATGCAAATGACCAGCTGTCTGCAAGGAATATTAATCCTTCCATCCCCCCCACTATCCAGTCAGAGCTGAAGAAGCTTCTCGGATGAGAAGTGGAACTCTTCAAAGAGAAAAACAAGGAAGTCCAGTTGCCTTCTGAAAAAGCACCTTTGGGAAGTTGATCACATGATTTCACATTTTTTTTTGTGGCAATCAATAAGTAATTTGACCGTCATTAAAGCAAATGCCACCAATATTAAGCAAAGCAAGGGTTCGCTATGGCCGTGATTTTGCCAAAACCTAAAAGTAAAATCTGTTTTTTAGCAAAACCATTTTAAACTATGCCATGTGGGATGCTGAGGTGGGCTACTTGCTTAGCGCTGTACCTGTGGTCACGTGTCTGTGGGGTGGAGTGGGCTAAGGGGTAATCATCAGAACCTGAATCTGGGTTATAATGTATTCCTCCCAGGTAGGTCTGTCAAAACATTGGGACTTTCTAAGTGACTGGGTGTAAGTTGGACACTACCTGCATTTATGTCTCTTTTGGGTTCCTTTTAGCTAATGTGCTGATGTACAAAACTCCTGCTTACAGTATTTTGAAAAAATATCTCTGAGGTTTTGCACATATAATCCAAACAAGAACAGCCATCTGTCCAAATAAAACTACACGCAAAAATCATTAAGTCTAGAGTCTCAAAATTGATGTAACTGTCCCTTAGATTAAAGTC